TCATTTAAAAGACCACTTATGTTTGCAAAATGCACTTTATGTAATAATGAAATGTTATGGTGATGAAATGTTACAATGATGAAATGTCTCGTATGATGAGATGTCAGGGAACCCTATAATCATTCCTTTTAAATTATATATGATTTGGTCGATTATGTGATGTTCACATCCCATGTTTTTTTTTGCTCCAAGGGTGTTAAATATCTTTTAATAAATTTAAAATGGAAGAAATATAAATATGATCGCTTATATATATATGATCTCTTTATATGTATTTGAGAACACTTATATGCACATTCATATTATTATGTATATACATATATTATATAGTACATAAATAATATTTTTATATAACTTTAAATAACAAAAGATGCACAGGAAACAATGCAAGAAAATGCACAAAAAAAAAAAACATGAAATAGGAAAAAAGTTCAGTTTAATCGTGTAGACTAACTGGAAGAAATTTTTTATACTTGTATGTTTATTTATCCTTTGATTTCCTCCATTTTTTTTTTTTATATTCATCCGCTTGCTCCGTCACCACTCGCAGTTTACTTTATTCTCATTCTGGTTTTTATTAGATAATTGTTGTATATGTGAGATGCTCACATCTATATATACACTTAACTCATTTAAGAATCCTTAACAAAAGGATTAACTTCATTTACTGTTCATTTTGTTTACTTTTCTTCCTTTTCATTTGTGTTTTCTTCATTTCTTTTTATTTTTTAATTTTATTTTATTTTTGAAGTAAATTTTCTTAAAATCAAGTGAATTAAAAGGATATTTTGTTAGCGTTATTCTTTGTTCATTTTCTTTGATAAAAATTAAATTTTTGCATTTTTTACTTTTTTTTTATTGAAAAATAAGATGAAGTCTTCATTATTCATTATATGAATACAATATATAACAAGAGAAAAGATTACATAAGAAAAGAATAAAAGAAAATTTTATTTTTTTATTTCATATCTTAAGTATTTAATGAGAATTTCTTAAACAAGAAAATTTATTTAATTTTAAAGTGAATAAACAATTTATTTTATTCAAAAATAATTTTAAATCGAAATGTTTTTCTATAAATAAAAGTTGTTGTACAAGGTGTATTCAGGAAATTTAAAAAAAAAATTAAGGAGGCTTAAACTTTTAGAATTTGGAGGGCCTAAATAAATATTTTTTTTAGAAAATAAAACCTTTATTTTCTGTAATTTCTTATGATTTTGGGCGTTTTTAAAATTTTAAACGTTTTGACCCTTTACGGTATCGCTGCTTTTATTTTTTTGTGATACAAAACATTTTGTATATAGATTCTAGAACTTCCAACAATTGAATATAAATATTCGTTTTAAACGGCTTAAAGGGCGTAGTGGGTAAGATTTCTTAATTAAAGTCAAAATTCAAGTTAGATTGCTAATTTAAGAAAAAAATTGAGTTCTAAAAATTTTCTATCAAAATTTTAACCGAATTTATTAAAAAGCTTTGCATATTCGTGGATTTTTTATCATTGATTAGGCGATCATAAGTGTATAGGTGTTATACTCGTCGTTGGATGCGGTAATCTTTTTTGTCGGCTTATATGTCGATTATATGTTGTCAAACATATTTAAAAAACTAACCTCGAAAGCTTTCATTTTGAAGTATTTCTTGTCCTTGTTTTGTATTTTTAAGAAAAAAATTTAAATATTAAAACACCCTGTACGTCTATAAATAAGTTTTTAATTAATTTCTTTTAATAAAATATTGTTATGATTCTTGATTATTAAAATAATTAAACAAGGAAAAAAATAAGAAAATATCCTTTAGGAAATAACCTTGAAAATATTAGAAAATATTAAAAAGATGCTGTTCTTTTTTTTTCAAAGAAAATTATAAAATTTTTTTAATAAATTTAAAATGAAATATTCATCGTTGATCAGAAATATCCCAAGTCCAACTTTTAAGTGAATCTAGATTATATTTATCATCAAATTTTAGTAATGTTGGTTATTATATATTTAAATCGCAATCCTGAAAAATTTTCAAAATGTGATTTAAGATGATTCTGATCCAAGACGTTTAGTATGAATTTTTAAATGGGTTGTAAATTAATTATTTCTTTTTCTGTTCTCTTGAATAATTATAATAATTTTTAATACAAAATGAAGTTGATTAACCAATTCTTTTAGCTTGGACGAAAATTCATTTAATAAATTCAAAAAAGACAGAAATCGAAAATTAAAATTCCACCCACAATTAAATTGGAAAATGTTAATTAATTATTTTAATAATTTAAAATTTAATTATCAAGTTAAATTATTCATTTAATTCAATTTAAATTTCAAACATTTTAAATATATTTTTAATATTTTACAATATTTTAAAGCGAAAAATAAAAAATTCTGCTGAATAAAAAAAAAAAGAATTATAAAATCAATAAAATTAAAATCAGGAGAAAAAATTATAAAATTAAATTAAAAAAAAAAAGTGAAACATAAAAAAAAAATATTAAATTATTAAATGGAAAATGAATGCAAACGGAAAATTAAAGGATTCAAATCTGTTATTGTCCTTGAAAATCATAAAAACAACAACAAAACAATTTTTTTTTCATTTTTTAATTTATTCCCTTTTTATATTTCATCTACCTACATTATTTTGTATTGTTCCCAAAAAATTCTATTCAATAATTTTTCTCTCTATGTTATTATAATAAAATTAAGTGGAGATAGAAAATAAAAAAAAAAAAGGGACCTTTACCTAAATGAAATTCAAATTATTCTAGATTATCATAATATTCCAATTACAACATTGAGAGTTTCAAATGATTTCAAAGAAATAAAGAAAAATATTCTAAAGTTTTTATTTTATAGGGTGGACGAAAATTTCTGTATTTATCCTTGATGGGAGAAATACAAAAAATTGAATGGAAAAGAAAAGTGAAACGAATTATAATAGAAGAAAATTTTTTCTCTTATTTTTTTTTTTCTTGTATTGCCATCTCTACCTACTAATTATTTCCTCTTTTTATTTTGTGATTAAGGGAAAAGGAATAATTTGGTTATTCAAGAAATTTTTTTTATAGAAAATTCTATAATATTTTTATTACGTTATTACATTCGCATTCAAATTATATGTGAGATTATTCTCTTTGCATATAATAATAGGAACTAATTTAAAAAAAATTTTCAGTTTTATATTCTATAATACTTTTAAGTATAGTAAATTAATAAAAGCAGAGGTATGCAAGATAAATGTATATGTTTGTGGATTTGGCTATATTCATGGGGTTTCCTATATATATGAATATATTATGAAAGCTTCCAACATATTTCACATGTTTAATTCGAAAAACAATGATACGCTTAGAAAATTGTTATATATAGATGAATTATGCTTTACATAACTTTCGAGAAATTAGATTTCGATCAATTTATTATGGTATGACAATAGAATATGAGAAATATAAAGTAGTCGGTAGTCAATATTAATAGTCACAGTTGAATTTCTTATCTTGTCAATTAAATTTGTAATTTGAAAATTTTGTTTAGTTCTGCTACGCACCCTAGTAAACTGATGAAAACTAAATTTATGTACAATCGTACATACGTCGTTTCTTATACCGTACGATTATATCGTATTTTATACCGTATTTATATGACATTTTCTATGTGAAGATTTTTATAACATTGTTTTTGTAAATTTCGTTGTTTTCCCCAAATAAATATTTAAATTTGTTAAATAAAAATTATAAATTTAATCTCTCATTTTGCAGTGCATAAATTTTCGAACAAACAGACAGCGAATGCTAAAAAAAGCACTTTTATCAGGACTAAAATTCAAATGAATTTTTTATTTCTCTTCCTTTTTGTTTTTTTTTTTTTTCGTAAATGAAAACCATTCATTGTTTTCATTATTATTAAAGTGGATTTTATTTTAATGGATTTTATTACCTACATTTAGAAAATGAAAAGAGAAATAATTAAAAAAAAAAAAGAAAAAATGAAAAAATTTAATTCACACATTCAGAAAAGAAGTACATGATCGTAATTAATTGTGTTGCATACTTTTAGGATAATTCAAAATTATATCGTTTTTTCTTACTCTAAATTTGTAAAATGAATTCACTGAAATATTTGGGTATAAGAGACAATTATTTTATATGTTTTGGATAGTTAATATATTTATGAAATATTAGAGATACTAAGGAAGGGAGTATGAAAAATTAAAGATATACGGGATTAAAATTAGCAAATGTAATAGAACTTACCACACGCTTAAAAATTCATAACTATGATAATTTTTTTTTTTTAAATTTAACTTCTTTAATCGCAGAAGAATTTAAATACTACATAGTTTTAGGTATTCAAAATCTTTATACTTAAAACGTGTCTGTTAGGAATTTCGGTTATAACATCAGTCGAACGCTACTAAAAACCGAAACGAGCACATCATTAACGTCCAAAAAGCACATAATTAAATTGAAAACAGAACAAGAGCGATTTTCTGCGACCAAAGGTCCGAATTCATATAGAATACACATATGTATTTAAATGAAACTGCCCAGAATCAAGTAAAATTACCTACGAGAATTTTATCGTTCGCGGTATAATATTGTTGAATTGATTTTGCCGTTTCGCTCTTGTTCTGGGTTAACAACAGACATCGTTCGCCGCTTTCGTTCTATGAAAGAAAATTTTATAAACGTTAAACGATTTTTGGAATCCTTTTTCAAAATCCTTGTATGCTTTAGAGCTTTGAAAAATAATGAAAATGTAGAATAAGATCAGGAAGAAAATTGTTATTTGTTTCATGTTTTCTTTTTCAAAAAGAAAAAACAAAACAAACATTGTTAAATGATTTCATTCTGTTTCCTCTGATTGTGATTATCTATCTCTCTTTCTCTTACTCTCGCGTTCCCTTTCTTGTTACTTGTATTGTATTTTGTTTTTTTTTTCTCGGTTTTATATTAGAAATCGATTTTTTTATTAAATATTTTATATTTATTTTTTTTTTTTGTTTTTTAGGCCTCGTTCTGGAAATATTCTAACAAGACGGCTGTGTCGAAATCGACGTGGTGAGGATAATGAACTTTATCGTTCGAATAGTTTTAAATTTGAACGTTTTGAAAGAAAGGAGGTGAATGAAAGTGGTACAACACTTCAAAGAAAGGTAAGTGAATTAATTTTTTATCTATTTTTTTTTTTGGTTTCTGTTTCGAATTGTTTTCTTTATAATTTTATAGTATTTGAGAATCTTTTATCGTATCGTATAAGCATCTTGTGGTGTGATAATTTTTGTTATTTAACTTGAAAGAAGTGAGAAACAGTTAAAGAAAACAAAAAAGGATTTTACGAACAAAATAAAAAATATTTTTTTTTTGATATCCTTTACACTTTTAAATGAGTTTTCGAATTAAATTGATTTTGTTATTGATTCTATTTGATCTGTATTTAATATACTTAAAAGTTAAATAGAGTTTTTCCTAAAGTTTTAGAGCTTTTTAACTCGTTTCTCATTTATTAGTTTCTCATTAATTTTTAATTTAATTTAATGAAATTAAATCTTAAATTAAATATTTATGAATTATATCATTGCCTATATTCTTATTTTATACTGGATCTAAAAATTTAATTGGGTTATTACAGAAACAAAATTAGAAATCAAAATTTTCTAGACCTTCACGTTTTTATTATTAGGAAATAATAACAAGAAAGTAGCATCTGCATTTGCAGAATTATGTGACTAAGTCTCTAAGACTGTATTGATATTGTCTGTTTGTTGCCTCTGTCCTCTTTAAATCTAATATTATCTAATCTAACCTAACCTCTTCCTTAAGTAAAATTTTATTTCATTTCAAAAACCGTATACCATTTCTTAATATTACATTATTTGTTTAGTAAATTTCAGTATTTTTAACATTTTTAAAATAATTTTCTTAAAATCTTAATATTAGTATTATTAGCCTAGAATCCTTTAACGTTAGTATTATTAAACCTTTTCTAATTTTAATTATTTTTAAAATGTGTTAATTAATTCTATTGCATAAAGCTTTATTTCAAATTACAATTAAACAATATGTTTTTGGGGAATCATTTTATTAAAAGATTAAATGATAAAAAAAGGAACAAAATGTTGTAATTAATCCCACTAAATTGCTGTGAAAATACAATATTAAAAATTTCTATGACAATAAACTTAAACATTTAAACCACATGATGCCTCCCCAAAATCAAGAGAACTCATATGCTTTTATACATGTTATATTTTTTGATATAAACAGAGGGTTGAATAAAGTCTTTTTTTTTTTAAATAGATGTATTTAAGTGTGTAAATTTTTCTTGATATTTGTGTGTAAATATCTTTTGTGTGTGTATAGGACACTTACACAAAAAAATTTTAAAAATTTATTAAATTAATATTAATTAAAAATTACTTTAAATAAACTTTATTATGTCAAATTTTTTAATTAAGTTCTGGACTAGTTCTGAACTAGCATTCATTCTCATGTGTTGCAAAATTTGTTTAAGGTGACGTTGGGAAAGAATTCCACTTTGTCAAAAATCAATTATTAACACGATTTTTTGCAATTTCGAGGTACAAGAAATTTTCGGAAATTTCAATTTCAATGTTTATTTAGATGACAGCATATTCCAAAACTCTGTATAATTAAAACTTGATCTAGAACATCTAGAGTTAAAGTAAATTGATTTTGTGAACAGGTTTTCCTTTTGCATTATAGATTTAATATTAAAGCCACCCCCGAAGTTCAAACATTTTGAGCTAAAATCTTCCTTCAATATTTTCCTTTTTACAAATAATTTGACAATTTAGAAGTAAGAAGTCGAAATTTGATTAAAATATTTGAGAACAGCTTTTTAATATGATTAGATTTAATAATTTATTGCAGAAAGAAAAAAAAAAAACAAATTAACACAGATACGACGATAATATCCTTTTGAACAACCTTAAAAATTATCAGATTATTATTTTAATGTTCTCATCTTATAACTTTTTGAACTTTAGTTTACCTTTTTTTTCTCTTTCATTTAAAATCAAGGAGCATAAAAACTTATTGGCTTGACATCTATTTTTAGAAATTTCTCTTAAAAACAGAAAAGAAATGTAAGAGATTTAATACAGATTTGATATGGTAACCTACATACATATACGTCACATATATGCTAATGTTAAGGTGAATCCGGCAATAATGCAAATAACGATAATATTATGTTGTTATAATATATTCGGCATTAGATAGACGACTTGTTGAAAGCTTATACTAAATTAAGAGAGTACATAAGTACAAATTTTTTCTGTTCTTTTATAGTTCAGAAAATTTTTTGTAGTTTTGTGGATAGCAACAATTTTCAAAAGCTTTTCTCATAGAAGTTACCTTGTATTATTTTGTAAAAATTAAAAAGATACCTTAATTCACAATATTATGTCGCTTAAAAATTTCATTTGTAATTTTAAAAATTCTCAATATTTAAAAAAAACTGTAAAATAATAATTTTTTGCATAAATATTTAAAAATTTGTAGATAATATGCTTGAAAAAACTAAAAAATCTTCTCTCAAAATAAATATTTCAAAAATTTCCATTGTGAACTTTTTCAATTTTTGTTTTTCAAATTTGAATTTAATTCATTAATATTTTTGTAGTGGGCAACATATTGATGTAGTTCTTGCAGGTTTCTTTAATATTGTGTTTATTTTTGTAGTTAAAAAATTAGTTAGCTTAGACACAAACCTTTTCAAAATTAATAATATTTAAAAGTTCTTATAAACCCCTTTAGATGTCGCGTAAATAGCTAAAAATATAAATTTCTATTATTGTAATGTTTAAGGTGATTAAAACGCATATGAACTAAAAAACATTTACTTAATTTTCAAATAATTTACTTAATTAAAATATTTTATTTAATTATAAACAAATAAGTGAGTTTTTCAAGATCAATTAACCATTTAAAAATTGAATTTACAATTTATTATGGAATACGTAGAATTTGATTACAAAAAAAAAAATAAGTTTATCCGGCGAATTATCTGATTGTAAAACTAATTTAGAGCCTTGTAACAATTTACAATAACTTTAAAGCTATAATTATAATGATTCCTTTATATAAAATTCAAAATTATCGTCATTAGAATGATAATTTAATGGTATTAATAAATAATTACATGAAAGAGAACATTATTACTTAATATTTTCCATAATATTAACAAAGGATACAAAGAATACAATTTTTATAACACACATACATATTATGTACATTATAATTATACATATGTACAGGTATATATTTGTTTATTATAAAATTAATTGAATATGAAAATATTTTCATACTTTGAATGTATTCTGATAATATAATATTGTATAGTTCGAAATCTATTACGGTATAATTCAAAAATGATGCCGAAAATATATCAGAAGTGAATTTATTAGTAGGCTGAACAAATTTTCGGTAATGTTACAATATAAGAACTGTTACGATAATGTTGCAATAAAATTGAATAGAATCTTAACAATCTGAAGTAATGTGAACCTGAATCCTTGTTTGATTGAATATGTATAGGAGTAGAGTTTAAGATGATCAAGCAATTAAAGAAGAGTTTTGCATTATTAAATATATTTCACCTAAAATTTCTATTTATTCTTACTTCTTAATTAAAGCTTTTATAATTGGCTGTAGAAAAGTTATTATATTGAATCTTAATTGGTATATTAAAATTCCGATTTCATAGTGCGTATACATTTATATAAAATTATAAATAATGCAAAAAGCTGCCTTTAGAAAAAAAAAGTAGTATATAAAATATTACGATTTTTTTATAGAGTACTAGTATATAAACGAAACGAATCAATAGTAATACCTCGTAAGTCCAATTATTCAAATCTAAAACATAGAACACATATTTTAGTTCGAAATTATTGTTATACAATTTCATATATTTAGAATGCATCTATATAACACATAACAGAATATAATAACAGTTTAGTAGTTATATACACTATATAATTAATGTAGTCAGCATAATCGTTTTAAGCAGGTGTCTTAAATGGATGCATAATTTTTTATATTATTTTTTTTTAGTAAACGTTTTTTAATTTTTTTTTTAATTTTTTTTTATATTCTCTGCTCCTTTTACACTTCTTTTGTTATACTGTCGGTTAAATTTTTTTTTTTATTTTTTTGGTTTTTCTCTTTTATGAAAGCGGTAATGTCCTGTAAAATAAATATTTATTTTAAAATACACTTTCATTAAGATTTTACGAGTATGTATATATGTATGCGTTGCTCATGTAGAGTTCATTTCCTCTTAATATTAACTTCACCTTTGAGTCTTTTGTTTATATGAAAATTTTTGAATATTCAAAGTAGCTGTATGACGTGTTGTACGTTTTAGTACTTAAACAGTAAAATCATTATTATGAACAGTAAAATCAACTCGTGCACAAACAATGTATATGAAGGGAAAACATTGAAAAAAGCAAATTATGATTTAATTTTTTTTTTTTTTCGGTCTTCAAGTGAAAATTAAGCTACACATATTCCTTGCTATATCCAAACTGGTTTACATATAATTTATTTTTTTAAAATATTGAAAAAATAAAAGTTGTCTGTATTAAAAGGTTGTTTTATACTTATTGGTTATGGTTTTTGTAAGTGATTTTTGTATTGTATAAAAATTCTTTTGACGAATGTATTGTAAAAGAAAGGATTTTTCATGTCCAAGTTAAAAGGTGAATATTATAAAAAAGAAAAATTAAAAGAGTAATTTGTAATATTATTGAACGGAACATGAAAAAGGACTTCAAATATTTTAGAAAATTTTGAAAGTATTTAAAAAAAAAATTGTTTTTTTAAAGAAAGTTTTGAATTTATTTGAATAAATTAAAGGGTCTACATTGTCCTGAATTTTGGTTTATTTTTAAAAATAATGTTAATTTAGTTTTCAATATTGAAAACTATGAATTTAATTTTTTTAATTAAATTCATATAATACGTACATGTAGTTTTAAAAATTTTTAGATATTGTGGAAATTACAAAATTTTCTACCTTATACCAAACATAAAATTTCTAATTTAATTTTCTTGTATAATAAATTTTCGATATAAATGTGCGGGCGTTTTGTTATTTATATTATTTTTATCTCAGCATGTAACT